ATGACATCCACTCCTGCAATGTGATGGAGGGATACTGGCTCTTCTACGAGCAGCCCAACTACAGAGGCAGGCAGTACTTCATGAGGCCCGGAGAGTACAGGAGGTTCAGCGACTGGGGAGGCATGAACCCCAGGATCGGCTCCTTCCGGCGCATCATGGACTTCAACTGAACTGAAAAATGTCTTTTAAAAAGTAAAATGTAGAAATAAAAAACAATCCATATACCTTTTCTCATTATCCTTTGTTTTGTTATATATGGTCATTTTGTTTTTACAGAAAAGTTTAAAGCTTTCAAAGTTCACATGTTGTCGGAATTCACAAATTTCACAGTTTTCAGCAAGGTAGCTTTACTAAGAACTGCCTTTATAAGCAAACTTTAATACAGGTTAACCCACACTTACTGAGGTAATACAAGCATGCAAGGTTAATGCAAGTAAGCATAAAAGTATACTGTAAAGCAATGCCATTTCTTTCAGAATTTAAATTTTAAATACAGATTATATTTAGAGGATGTCTACGTTTCCTGGAAAAGATCACCTTCTCAAACAGAAAGAAAATCTTCAAAGTAAACAATTCTCTATCACATATGTAACGGGGTGAGGCAAACTTAAGCACTCTGTTCAATCACCCTTACATTCTGCTGGACACAGATCGAACACATATCTTACCGGGGTCTTTATCACCATGATACTTCAGCACATACTTATACATACTTACTGTACATTTCAATATCACACTTCTTGCTGAAACACCTGTGTTTCATTTTCACAATCCCGCCCCCCACCCCCTTCAACCTTGCAGCAGCTCCCTGGCTCATCTCTCATTAAGATGGGAGGGGATTCAGTCAGGCCCCTCCTTTTAGACACACTGTCATACTCATCAACCAGATGCTTTACCTCAATTAACCAGTTATTCAAATCACGCCTTCTCATTGCTTGAACCATGGAAATCTGTTAATTGTCACGATCGTAATCCCTCCTCTTAAGGGCACTCCGGCTCTTTGGTATTGTAGCTGATTATATGCACCTGCCCCCTGTTCTGTCTCCTTATTTAAGACGAGTGCTCTAGCTATTCTGGCCTCAGCACTGGGAGATGGATGCCTGGAAGCCTGCCTACCAGTGGGTCCAGGAGAGGCCCTGATGGCATAGGCTTCGTCACGACATGTCGACCGTCTGAGTCCGGTGCTTGGAGCACCAGGCCTCGTTACCCTGTTTTTTATTCCCTGTCCCTGTACCGATACAAAGAAGAATAGCTTGGCCCCTGTACCGGATCCGGTTCCAGTTTTTAACCATGTTTTGTCTCATCTTGGATGGATCACCCAGTTTTGGACTTTGGACTTCACCCGGATTCCCCCCCTGGACGCTTTGGAATAGTTTGCCTTGGCCACGCCCCCCCGAGCACCAGTTCACCACCATCACACTCCCCTGTTCGTCAACCTGCCCTGTTCCTTGTTGTCTCCTCCCCGTTGTCCTTCTCCACTTACTTCTGGATTATACCGTCTGCATAGGGTCCTGAACTACGCTTCACAGGAGCCTGGACCGGCTCCCGTTACATTAATCAAAATATATGAAGAGTGTATCGAACGTGTTCTGATAACTAAGAATAAATTGCATTCAATCACTGCAAATTAAGCTGATCCATTTCTTTAAACAGTTTCCTTCATAAAAGTAATTTATTAGGCTATTCCATTTAAGGTGTTTTTAAGCCACAATAGACAAAGAGTCAAAGATGTTACGTGATGCAACAGGCAGGTGTAGAGGCAAGGGAAATTATAACATTTAGACTTAAGTGTCATTAGAGATTTCCAATAATGTTTCTGTTGCCTTGATGAAGCAGCTTGGGCCTCTGTGTAAAAGCAGAGATTGAAACTAAAAAAGAAGCCCGTTAGAAAAGAGATCTGTAATGACGCGGCAAGGTGGAAAAAGCAGAGCCCGACTGAAAGCGCACAAGCAAGTCTCAGGCAACAGCAAGGTGGGGAACACCGCAACAAAAGGAACAAAGACAGCCCAAAAGAAAAAGAACGACACGGAAGTCACCCAACACTTGGGGCTGCAGAGCGGGAGCTGCAAAGAACTAACTGAGCACAAAACTATAGAGGAAAAAAGAAAACTGGTGTGAGGAAGTTACGATGTAACAATCACACAGTAGCACAGCTAATGACAGAGCCCTGAGTGAAGGGCAAGGGGAGTATTTCAAGAAAACTGGACCTAATAGTTTAAAAACTCAATTAATGAACCGCCCCCTGGGAAAGTCTACCCAAGCATGTCCTAAGAACGCCGGGAGGTCTGCTGTCCCGCATGTGTCTGCGGGACCGATTGGCAGCGCTTGCTCAGGCCCAACAAGACATT